CGAGTGTTTTAGAAAAGCAGCTAAAAACAATAACATCAATGCTATGATGAAGCTTAGTTATTGTTATTTAAATGGAATTGGTATTGAAAAGAATACTAATGAAGCTTACAAATGGTTTTTGAAGTCAATTAATTATTCTGAAAAAAATCATCAATATATTCATTACCTGATTGTAATCTTAAATAATGAGTATATTTTATTTTTAAAAAATACAAGTTATCAATGGTATTTAAATATTTCATTCATTGTAATAGTGGCAATTGCTATTGCTGTAGGTTATTTTTTAGACATGATAAGAAAATCAAATCTTATTGATAATGTTAGTAAAAATGACAATATTAGTAAAATAATTTCACCTTTTTTATCAGGAATCAGTATTATTGTACCTATCATTACTTCTTATTTAAATAAGTTTTCAAAAAAAGAAATTGAAAAAAATATTCAACTGTTATAGCAAAAATAATTTTTAAACCTATGCTATTAAATATTCTGAATAACCTTTTAGATAAAATGTCTGAAGAGCCTTATAGAACTAAGATTGATAATTATATCACTTGTTTAAACTGAAAAAATGAAACATTAATCAGAAAAAATTACTTTAATTTATTTTTTTTGGCTTTATACATTATATATATTGTTTTTATATCATTTATCCTAACTTCAATTTTTGTTAATTATACTAAAATGTATCAAAATTCTACCAGCATGAATTAAAATTATTCTGGCGTAAATCAAAATTATACTGTTATGGATCATCATATTGAACATGATTTAAAACATAGTATTTATGTTATAGATGAGACTGAATTGGGATTATATTTTATTCTATTTCTTATGATATTTATAAATATTTTAAAATTACATTTTTTTTATACTGTATAAATGATTCAAATTATCAAAATCTTCAAATCAATGTATCGAAATTACAAAAATTATTTTATTGCTTGAAATTAATTTGATATTTTCCTTTTATTATATATGATGAAGAAACAAAAAAATTTATATATAAATCTACTATTTTAAGTAAATTTAAATAAAAGAAAATTAAATATATTATTAATAGAAATAGTTACAAAATAGCCTGAATTTTATATTTATTTTTATTTGTTTGATTTTGTATATTTTATGTATAATGATATATTATTATTAGTTAAAAATAATAAATTCATATTATATCAATTATATTAATACATCAGTTATATTTTTGAAATTGTACTAAGTAGATATTATTTAAGTATTTTACAAAATTTATTTTGTCATATGTTATAATCAATATTAGCTAATCAAAAATTTTAACTGTAATATTTTTTAATACTATTATACTAGGTTAATCATAGCAAAAAAGTTTCTTATAATTGCTGATTATTTTAACTTAGTCTTGAAAAGACAAAATTAAATATATTATTAAAAAATGTTTATATAGAGGTTAGATTTTTTAGAACTATCTAAATTCAATCAATCTAATCAACAAATCCAAACAACCTACCAAATAAATATATTATATTTGGTAAGTTGATAGTTCAAAGCTTTAGTTATCAATATATTAAAAAGAGATAAATTCTTAAAACAAAAAGTAACTACAAAGAAATAATAACAAATTTAATTTTTATTTATTAAAAGAAACATATGTATTATTTTTAAAAACTATTATAAAAAATATTTATATATATAGTCTTAGTAGCACAAATGTATTAAATTTAATTATTTTTTGATACTAGTTTAATTAAAGATGCAGATAAAATTTGTTTTATATCATAATCTTGCTTTTTAACCTAAGATTTAATTTTTTTATTTTTAATATTTTTTATAAAATAACAATATATAAAATAAAATAGTATTAAACCTAATTATTCATTATAAAAAATTTTATATTTTCTAATTAAAGTATACTATTTATAAACTTGTATAATATTATAATAGACATTTGTATTTATTTGATTTTTTATTTACTAAGTATAATAATTATAAAAAAAATTTTAATATATTTTAAATTATTGAAAAAATAATTATTTAATATTAAAAAATCAATAAATAAAAGTATATTATATTAAATTTCAAATTTTATAGTCTTTTTGTCTAATTAATAAATTATACTAGATAAATGCATAGCATTGCATATTTAGATCTAAATATTAAAATTTTTTATAACAAAACTTATATAAGAGAATTTTCAACCTTCTGAATCTAAAATATATTAGATTTATAATTAAATAAACTAACTAATATTTTATTATATATTACAATTTGATTAAATATTAAAAACAAACTTGATAGTAAGTTAATTGCTTTATAATTCAAAATCTTATATAATCTATAGTTGGCTTAATCAGAAAAAGTTGCTTAGATTTGATCAGTAATTTTAGTGTTTGCAAATA